TTTTTTTTTTTGGTACTGGGGATTGAACTCAGGACCTTGCACTTGCGAGGCAGGTGCCGGAACTGCTGAGCTAAATCCCCAGCCCGTTTATTTCTTTTAAGACAGGTCTCACCATGTAGCCCAGGCCGGCCTTGAACTCACAGTGATCCTCCTGCCTCAGCCTCTCCAGTGCTGGGATCACAGGTGTGTGCCACCACGCCCAGCAGTTACTTCAGTACTCAAACACTCCTCTTCACTGAGTTGAGGAAATAAAAATGTGGTGGCTTGCAGGACATTTTCCACACATTAATAACATTTGTACATCACTGATATTTATAAAATGCTGACATCACTTAATCATCCCAGCCACAGTAAGAAGTAACACTTGTTAATCCCAATTTGATAGGCAAGGAAACTAAGATGGTTTCCCAGAAGAGATGCAGAGCTTCACCTTCAGGCCTCCTGATCCTGTTGTCTAGACACCTTTTCTCCTCCACTGCATTGCTGCTTGTCTGGAAGCTGCAATAAGCTCCTTTGAAACAATTTCTAAATAAAACACTGTATGTTTTTTAAAAAGTGATATGACACACATTTCAATTTCTGACACTAAAATTCTTTGACTCTAACCTTCCTCCTCACTTGTGCATACTTCCTTTCCCCTTCCTTCTATTCCTTTTTTTTTTTTTTGCTTTCTGCAAACCTAGGATTAAAAGCGTGTTCCACCATGACCAGCTGTGACCCTTTAATCATTTTCATCATCTCCATTTCTCAGTTTACCTTTGGGTCTCCATTTCTATCTGGTCAGAACCTCATATCAGGTTGTCTTATGAATTTTAGTTTGTTTTCAGAATTCTACTTGGTGAAGCTCACCAATCTCTGTGTGTCTGCCCCCTTGAATGCCCAGTATATTTAGTTAATAGGTACTTGGATAGCAGTGTAGTGGGGGGGCATACCTTACGAATAGCAAAGGGTGATTTGTGTGTTCCAGTTAGGGAATAAAACAGTAAAAGTAAGGTGCTAATTGTGGAAGCACCTTGGGAATGAAGAGCAGGTTGGCATTTTATGTACAGACTGACTGGTCACCTTGTCTTAGCAGAAAAGCTGAACATTTAAGATCTGAACATACTGGGCATGATGGTGCAAGCCTGTAATCTCAAAGTCAAGCCCAGCCTGGGCAATTTAGCAACAATAACTAAGCAAGACCTTGTCTCAAAATTAAAAATAAAGGGATGAGAGTGTAGCTCTGGGTTCGGGGCGGGGGGGCTTCCATATTGTGTCATCAGTGTGAAAGATGAGAGATACAGCCAAAGTGTCAGGGTACAGGAGAGAAAAAGAAAATTGTCCAGACTCCCTTCCTTAAGAAAAAGTGGAAACTAACCCAGACCTAGTGGCAGAGGCCTGTAATCCCAGCACTCTGGGAGGCTGAAGCAGAAGGATCTCAAGTTCAGCCCTACCCTGGGCACCTTTGGAGATTCTGTCTCAAAAAACAAAAAAAAGACAGAGATGTAGCTCAGTGGGCAAGCCCTGGGTTCAATTCCTAGTACCAAAAAAAAAAAAAAAGTGGGGGAAGCTAGCTCTCTGTCACCTAGGGGAGAGAGGCTACCACATCTGCACGGATCCATGTAACGCCCAAGCCCTTGTCTGCTGGTATCGGAGGCCAGTTAATATCCTGGAGCCTGATCAGATGTGTACATTTTCCTCCCTGGAAGGAAGCCTCCATAGAACTGGGGGAATGAGGGCAGCGTTCTCCTGGACCTCGGTGAACAGGCTAGCTGGGAGGGGAGGGTGTTCCATTGCGAGTGGGTAGCATTAGGAGTCCAACATGGCACGGTGCCAGTCGGAAATGGCGGTCGGGAAACAGACCCGCAGGAAGCTGTGCTCCCCCGCTGGACTCCCTTCCCTTCGGCAGCGTTAGTCAGCACATTCCCTGAGGTCGGGGCTGCTCTTGGCATCACTTGCCAGCAGACGCCCAGAAACTCGGAGGCTGCAGCTGTGCTTGGTGCCTGGGGTTGGTTCTGACTTTCTGGGACTGTGAGGCGGCGTCCATGGCAACCGCTGCCAGGAGGATTTCCACTGTTTGCCGCCAGCCAGTGGCAGCTAACGTAACAATGCAGCCTGCAGCCCATTGGACAGGCTCTTGGGTCCTAGCCGCAGTGGGTGGGGCTGACATAGCGTGGAGCTGTCTCTGCTGCCTCTAGGGAAGGCAGTGAGTGTGATGTTGGTATAGGTACTAATTACTCAGTGGACTGGAGTCCGGTCACAGCAATAGCCTGAGCAGGCCCTCATGGGGACCCTTGTGCTCCTCCTCCCACCCACACTTCCGTTATTGCGGTGTTCTGAGGCCTCTGCCGGCCAATCCTTTAGCTGTGCTTGTTCCGTCCACAGGCGTCACTGCTGTGTGCGACCAGGACACTTTCTTAGGCTTACCGCTTCAAGTACTCAAGGGAGTGGCTGACGTGGAAAAGGCTAAATGATGCACGTTTGGGCAGCTGTGCAACCAGTGCTTCCAGTTATTCTCTCCCGCTTTTTATTCCCAGCCCCCTCCCCCGGATTCATTTTCTTCTGTATAACATCTGTGACTTACAAACGTTGAGGAAGAATAAATTGTGAGACATGCAAAATATGAAATCACAAAATGCAAAAGTATGTGAGGAGAGTTAGTCACCAGTGATTTCGTGTGTGCAAACGCAAGCCGGGTTTCTTGGGTTTTGTTTTGAGGCAGAGTCTCTCTAAATGGCTCTGGCTGGCCTCTGCCTTGCTCCTCAGCCTCCCAAATAGCAAGAATTACAGACAAGCACCATTGTATGCCTCAGACAATTTTTTTTTTTTTTTTACAAAACAATATCTTGGTTTTGATGGGTTTTGTTTTTGAGATAGGGTCTCACCATGTGATTCAAGCTGGCCCTGAACTCACTGTGTGGCCCAGGCTGGCCTAGAACTTGCAGCAATCTTCCTGCCTCTAGGATGGCAAGTGTGCACCACCATGCCCAGCTATATCTTGTTTTCTGGTTCTTTTCTCTACCAAGCAATATAATACATCCTGAACTGTCAGTAAATACACTACATCATGATTCTTACTAGGGCCCATTTTCCATCATATTTTTACCATTTCCTTGGTTGTTGGGCACTAGGAGTAACAGTTTTGATGGCATTGAAGGGGGTAAGACTATGTAGTCCAAGCTGGCCTTAAATTCACTATAAAGCCCAGACTTGAACTCGCAGCAGTCCTCCTTCCTCGGCCTCCCAAGTTCCCAAGTGCTAGGATTTTTACACGTGTTTATCTTTGAGACAGTTCCCTTAAGGAAGCAGTACCCAGTCATAACCGGTCCTTCCCCATCCCAAGAGGACAAGTCCCCACCCTTGTGTGGGAAGGATGTGTAGCTCCTTTGTGCTGCATGAGGCCCTTCATCCCCTCTGGGTTCCAGTCCTCATTTGTGGTCCTCTTTTAACCGCTTTCAACCTTTGTTTCTCCATCTTTGAGGTGGGGATGACAACCCATATACAGGGTGGTTATGAACCTTGGTTGAGAAGATATATGTGAAAACATGTTGCAGCTAACCTCACACAAACAACATGGTCTTCAGTTACTGTTCATTGTAAGTTTGGGGTAAGAGTCTGTGTGCTTACTCTGTGGGCTCTAAGTAGCTCAAGCCAAAAATCTGTTGCCTCTGCTCACTGTGGCTTGTCTGTTTTCAGGAAGAATGCTGTGGAGCTGGAACTCACCAAGTGCAAGATGGACATGATGTCTCTGAACAGCCAGCTGCTAGATGCCATTCAGCAGAAACTGAACCTCTCACAGCAGCTTGAGGCTTGGCAGGTAAACACGAGCTCTGAGGGCCAGCCCCAGAGAAGACTCCAGAAGTCTGAACCCAGCAGTGTAAGGAGAGTTTGATACTTACTAGAGGGTCCCATGTGATGGGTGAACAGTAACCACTGTCTTCACCTGCAGAAATCAGACCCCAAGTCCCCCATGTTCCCGGGGAAGAATACCTAAGAGTGCTCTTGAACATGACACAGCCCAGACTTGGAATGGGGTCCTCTTTCAACTGGTCATCTGACCTTGACTTAAACTAGAGAAACAGCTGTTAACGTGAAGGGGTGGGAAGCCCCAAGTGACTGAAGGCAGTGCAGCAACCCTAGAGCACTGCTACCTTTCCCTTCTGGAAGGGTTGCAGCTTCTTTTTTCCACTGGCCTGGCGCAGGCCCTGGGGAAAATGAGTCAGTGTGACCTTCTCAGGGCCCAGCTTGGCTCCCTGCTGGGTGGGGGCTGTGAGTGCCTTTTGGTTGATGGGTTTGAGGTCACACAGTGTCAGCATGTGGGTGTAGCTGTTAATGTCTCTCCCTAAGACATCCTAACCAGGCAGGTGAGAAGCCACCTGCAGCTCCATGACCTGAGCCCCACCATGGAGCAGGTTAGCAATGACCATTCTCAGGGCCCCATGGGACTGGTACCCGGAGCCCTGGCCACCAGAGTGCTGCTCACTGGTTCCTTGGCTCCTGCCCTGCAGCCAGCTGGCCGTGCCCTGTTTACCACCACTGTTCTCTCTCTTCTCTCCTGGCTGCAGTTTGCTTCCTCAGGGCTTTTTACTATCTGGCTCCTTTGGTTTCTGATCTAGTGGCCTTTCTCAGTTCCCGTATCAACAGCTTTAGTTGTACACCCCTCCTGCCTTTGAGGTGAGATTGAGTCCTGTATACCACCCATTTGTCCACTCTGCCATCACTGTCCTGCCCTGCCACCTCCCCTTGTGGCCCACCATGTTCTGTGTGCCAAAGCCTAGCATCATCTCTGTGCAGTGTGACATGTCATCTAGCCCTGGTCTTCCTCCTCCTGTCACCGTCATTTCCCATGAGCTCAGCAGTGTATGGCCAAGTACTGACAGCTGACCCGTCTCTGACAGGCTGACCCTGGTTTCTTGGTGCCACTTTTGCACAGATAGTTTTCCCCACAGAAATAACAGCAGGCATAGAATTATGAGCAGTATATGTGTGTCTGTGAAGTTCTAAAGTACACATCTTATGAGAGTACCTTGACTAATTGGTTGCTTAAAGTATAAAATGCAGTTTATAATGTGCCTGAAAAAAATGTTGGCAGCTTTGAAAGGATGTTTTTCCCCAAAGACCTTTTAACGTTCTCCTGTTATATAGATTTTATTGAGCTTAAGAGTAGGGCACTGTGCCCAGGATTCTACATTGGCACCCTGGAAGTTGGGGCCATGTATCAGTCAGATCTGCGGGGCAGGTGGGAAGGGGGCTGGAGGGGGGAGGGAGAAGGTGGGGAAGAGGAGAGGCAGGAAGCTGTGTGTGATTGAGGGTGGGGACAGAAGAGGAAGGCAGAGATGCAGGTCATAAGCAAGGGATGGTAAAGCCCATTCTCACCACCCTACCACCTGGTGACAAGGCAAGAAGGTCCTTTGATTTTACCTTGAAACCCACAAAGGCATTTGAGTGACACCCATGGGTGGGAGCCTGTGTGAGACAGAGGTAGTAGTGGACAAGCTGGTCAGGAAGAGGGGTGCAGCCATCCCATGTTCCTGCCTTCATCTGTGAGTGGCTGTTCTGAGCCCAAGTTCGTCTTCCCAAGCTGCAGGGAACTCCCACTGGAATGCAGGCCTCACCTGTCCCATGCTCTGCCACCCACTACCAACTCCTTCCTGGGTTTGGCAAGAAGCTGGGGTCTTTACCAGCACATTCCAGCAGTGCATCCCATAGCCTGCTGCTAGGGTTTGGGGCTGAAGGCTGAAGGCATCAAGCAAATGCTTGTTACACTTGCTGCTGCTAATGATTACACATGTCTGCTGACAGAGTGAGCCAGTAGTTTTCAAACTGTTCATGGAGAGCACCTTTGTCAAATAGAATCCTCCAATAGAATCAGAATCAGACCACTAAAATGCAGAGTGGACCTACTGTCCAGAAGCCACCCTGTTCTGAAAGACAGGCCAGGGGGCCCATTTTCTAGGCACCAAACAAATACTGTAAGGTCCTCCTGCAGTGAAGAAGCTAGTGGAGAGGGGTCTGCAGTGGTACAAGAGAGCCCCTAAAGATGGCAATGCCCACGACCTCTGCCACAGCTGGAGACTGATGGTGGTGAGTGGTGACAGCAGAGTCCAGGCAGCCTGTTTCCTGCCACATGGGGCTGCATGGGCATCAGCATCTCAGACTGGAAATAATTTTAAGGGGCAGAAAAGGGCAGAGGCCTCCTGAGGCCAGCCCATTATGCTGGAGAGTTGGCAAGCTGAGGTCACCTTGGGCCTACAGGGTGGGGGCAGCAGACTAGACCACAGGTGCCCAGACAAGTGACCGGGAGGCAGGAAAGATACCTGATCATAGGCAAGGCTGAGTGTTGATGTGGGGCTGAACTGTTATCTGGACCCTTAGGGACAGACCCATATGGGCAGTGAGGGAGCGGGGCCAGGAGGAAGGATTCTGGAAGCTCAAGCCCTGAGGAGACCTGGGTCCTTTCCATAGCTCCTGTGTGCACCCTGGCATCGCGCCCACACTCTGCTGTCTTGGGCAAGCGGTCCCAGCCACTCTCATCTCATCCCTCATCTTTATCTCTCCTCCTCCCAACATTTACCACCTCCCTGCCCACCCAGGCCAGGCTAGAGCCCCTGCTTAGCCCTACCCACTCTCCTCCTCCACAGGATGACATGCACAGGGTCATTGACCGGCAGCTGATGGACACGCACCTGAAGGAACAGAGCCTGCCTGCTGCTGCCTTCTCCAGGGCCCACAGTGTGGGGCGGGGGGCTGAGCCCAGCACCACGGAAAGCAAACGGCTTTTCTCGTTCTTCAGAAAAATTTAAGTTGAGCCAGGCCCAGGGATGGGTGGACACTGGAGCCAGCTGCAAAGGCAGTGTGAGCAAGGGCCTCCCCTGCTCGGGCTGGGCACCACACTGCCTGCCTGCATTAGGGCACAGTCAGTCCAGGAGCACTTCTGCTTTTAGTCAGTGCAGATGGAGACCAAGAGGTAGGGGCCTACATTGACCTTGGAAAACTGTCTCGGGGGACAGGTGGGAACCCTGTCCACACAGCCTGGCCAAGCCTCTGCCTGGGTTTCCCCAGGATCCTGTTATTGAGCAGGGCTCAGGTTGCCTCCGAGTAGCCCCTTGGTTGCTGATCACAGCCCACCCTGCAGGCACTGCTGCCTCCTGTTTTAGAAAACGGGACAAAAGAAATGGGGGCCTTCGTCTGCATGCCTCAGGAGGCCTGAGCCCCAGAGACCTAGTCCTGCAGGACAGGAGGCCCAGGCCTAAGCCTCCACTCCTGCCCAGCCACTGGCCCAGAGTTAAGAGGAGGCACAACCCCTCACCCAGTGCATGTACCTCTTGCTGGGCCCTCAGTGGGTAGGAGGACCAGTCTGTGGCCATGGGCCCTAAGGTAGTGTCTTCAAGCTCTGCTGAGGCCATCCTTAGCCCAGGGAGGAAGGAGGGCCCTGTCCCCTGGCTGCCACCAGTCTCCTCCCCAACCTCTCCATGAGCAGTCCTTACCCCCTACAAGGCCTGAGCCAGGGTTCTTGCTGGTCCTCTACAGCCTTTTCCCCTTCTTGGGTCCAGGCCTGGGAGGGGGCTCATTTTCCTCCAACAGCCCCCTCACCCTCAACTAGAGTTTCTCGGTCCAGCCTAGCAAGTCTAGGCCACATAAGGGTCTCAGAAGAGGTCTGGTCAGCCACCCTGACCTCAAAGGCAGCATTAGCACCACAGGGTGGATGGGGGGAGGCTGCTGGGAGCCTCCAGATACTGCCCACCAGGCCTGCAGAGGGACAAGGCCTGCAGCCTGCTGCTTCTGCTGCTTTCACAGCAGCCACCCCACATCTCTGCTGAGTTCCCAACTCAGAGGCTCCACGTGCCCAGCCTGCTTACCACTGATTTGGCCTCCCTCACGGGATAAGCACAGCAGGGATGAGCGGAAAGAATGTACCTATAGATATGTACATATCACAGTGCTGTAATTTTGTATGTAGCAATCATGTAAATATATGTATGGATTTTATAATATACATATATAAATCTATAAAGGCATATTTTTAGAAAAACAGCGCACTACTGCTTCTTTTGAAAATAGTCTGAATAAGAATAAAATGAGTTTCTACAGAGCTCCCTGCCTCAGTCATTGGGTATGTGAGGGTCACTTGGTCCAAATGCAGCCGGCCTGTCACAGCAGCACTGGCAGCTGATGAAGAGGTAGTGATAGTGGGCCCTGCACCTGGGAGGCCCCCTCCTACTCTGGTACCCAATGAATTAAGCCAGGAAAGGGGCCCCTCTCCTGGAGGGTGGCAGCATCCTGCTCTGTACCCTGCCCATCGGGCATAGGCTCCTGCCAGCATAGCTTTGCAGGCTGAGAGCAGGGCCTGGAGCTTGGCAGAAGTTTTCAGCCAGGAAGAAATCACTCCAGGCAAAAGCTTCCACTATGTCCTCCTGGCATGCAGACAATAAACATGGAGCATCCCCTGGCATCTTCCCACATGTGCTCCAGGCCAGTGCATCAGGCCAGAGGGGAAAGGTGACCTGGGCCAACCACTCAGAAAATAGCCTCCGAAGGTGTCCCAGGGCCCCAGCAGGCACCTCTGCAAGACTTAGGGCAAAAACAAGAGCTGGACACAGTGGGTGGGGAAAAGCCAGGCTCACCTAGCACACAGCTGGAGGGAGAGCAAACAGACTCTGAAAGAAAATTTGACAGCTTGAACCTTTATTTTTAGTATTTTTTTTAAAAAGCATAATTAGAAACTTTCAATACAGAAATAATCCTGGCAAACCATTTAAAAGTTTTGTTTGACAGGAATTTCACATCAGGTCCACCAGGATGTAGGTCTACCCGAGTCCCCACCCCCACCCGACAACCCCCCGTTCATGCATGTAACACTCAGCAGGACAGACATGTCTGTCCCCACCACCACCACCCCAACCTGGGCCTGGACGTCCAGGTGCCGGAAGCCACTGAGGCTCCTGACCTGGGCTGGAAGTTTCCAGGATCGCCCTATTGCTTGAATTTGCAAGCACTCCTACACTGGCTTTGCCTGAGTGCTGAGAGACAAGAGCGACCCTACAAGCACAGGAGCCCTGAGCTGTGTGCAACCTCACAGGCCGCTGGTCAGCTAGGACAGCCCTGAGGACGGACACCTGCTTCTGCTCCTGGCTCCTCCAGACAAGACAAAGGCAGGCTGCCTGCTGGTCCATCTGCAGCACCCCCCAGGGCTTCTGCTTTCTCAGGCCCACAGCTCCCCAGCCCCAGCCCATGGCTCCAAAGCAAAGGCCTGTCACAGAACCCTGGCTTTGACAGTCTGGACAAGTGGAGAGACAGGTGAAAAGAAACCCCGATTTTATTGATTAAAAACCCATCCACAGTGTTAACATGGAAAATCTGCAGTGTGATCTGTGATGTGATTGTCCAATCAGGCCTTTGCCTAGAAATCACCTAGGAAAGGAAATCTCATAAAACACATCATGGTGTTGAAATAATTTCTTCCCAGGTTATGCATGATACTTCCAGGGGAAATGGGAATGAAGTACCCCAGGGACAGGGGAACAGTAACCAAATGTATGTGACCCTGGTTTTTCCTCCAAGGTACTGGGATGCATCACAACTGGGCTGTCCCCAGCCCCACTGCCACTTTTTGCCACCAAGAAGACCTACTACCTTCATGCTAAAATAGTTCTATCAGTGATCCAAGGCTGCCCATCCAGCTGAGAGGCGTTGCCCCACCGTCCAGCAGCCCCGGCACCCACCCTCACATTCAGAGGTGCATAGTGCTGTGGACTTGAATTCCAGTGGGGGGCCCTGGAGGGCCAACATGGACAAGGGTACAAATCCCCTTCCTGTTCTAAGGGCCAAGGGGCCAAGCCCCACAATGACAGAAAGCAATTCACTTTTTCTAAAAACACTGGACCCGAAGTGGGGTGGTCACAACTTTTGCTGCTGTGCCAGTCAAACCTTAGGAAAAGATAATGGTGAAGAACTTAATTCATTTGATTTGGCTTCATTTTCTTTATCTGTTCAGATAATGCTCCTCTAGCCTCCAAGCCCCATCTCTGCACACACACTCCTACCTTTCTGTTGGAACTGAAACATGTTGATAAGTTAGAAGCCACGGCTCCCCTGGATTTGTAGCAGAGGTGTCGAGGACGCAGGATGAGAAACCTGTTGGCCAAAGGGTAGGACTGACTTCGCCTGGGGCCGGCAGAAGGGAACGGCTGCCTCAAGGCCACGTTTCCCCAGCTCCCAGCACAACTGGAGGCAGCAGAATGGACACAGGCCCTGGAGAGGGGTCAGACCCTGTATGCCAAGGACTGAAACTGACAGCCTGCAGCAAAGACTCAGCAACACGGAGCCCACTCCACTGTCCCAGGCCAGCCCGAGATGTCTAGCACATGACGCCGTCTCCTCCAGAAGCTGGGATGGGAGGGCCAGGGGGAGGTTCTGTTGCAGCAGGCTGCCATTAAGGAGGCAGAAGCCAGAGCAGGATGAGGCTGTGCAGCTGGTTAAAGCAATATACACTATGTACAAACTGGTTAATCAGTCCGCTCCGCTGGCAACGTCCTCGCCAGGTCCAGGCGCCTCAGCAGGGAGGAGGGCACCAGTGGGGAAGGGCAGGCTCCTCCAACACCTTCTTGGCACTCGGGGTGGGGGTGGGGTGGGGGAGGAAGTGCCGATGGCACCTCCCAATACAAAAAAGTGGAGAGAATTCTTTAAATAACGGCACAAAACTGAGACTGTCCCCCTCAGAGCCCGCTCGGGCCCCGGGCTGGGGGAGGGACCACAGTGCAGTCTCTGCAGTGGACTGGAGCATTAGCAGCAGCGTTTCTTTCGTTTACTGTTCTTCGTGAGCTTCACCACGTCATTCTGTTGCTGCTGCTGCTGTTTCGCCAAGTTGTCTTTCTTTGCTCGCAGAACCAGCTCTGTGATGCAATTGAACATCTAGAGAGATGACACAGCAGAGCCACCTCAGACCTCGCAGGGAGGACCCTGCTGGCCAGCAGGCCCACCTCCTGGGCCCAGCCCTGTTTCTACTTGTAAGGTGTTTTGTCCTCAAAACCCTTTCTAGGAGGAGGTTGTGAATTATTTAAAGGTCAAAAGGGAACAACATTAAAGACCCATGAGCTGTGTGACTTGGGGAAGTCAATCTCTCAGGGATTTTCCAGTCTTTTTTTAGTAGAGAGGAAGGACCCCTTTCTTCAAATGGAATCCCCCATGCCACCTCACTACACCTGGGGCCCAGACATGCCTAGGATCTCTCCCAAGCACCCAACATCCTTCCCAGGCCAGCACTCAGTAAAGCTCCATCTACTGATCCACAGTACTCTACTCCACCAAGACAACCAAGTAACAGCAACCACAGTGGGGGGGAGTAGAGACATAATATAGCAGGGCCAACATGTCCTACGCATGTACTTTGTGCCGAGCACTTGATTTAATTCATTTCAGTCCTCTAAACGTGGAAGGTGGGGACTCTGACTCCCCCAAATCTGCAGATAAACAGATGAAGCCAAGAGAGGCTGACTCCAGGACTTGGACCCTGGCCTGCCTCAGAGAGGCCTGTGTTCCCACCACTGTGCTCCCTGTGTCCCAATTTCCTTGGGGCCTCTGGACTCTGCACATGGGAAGGCAGGACTCCCCAAAGGCCAGCGAGTGGGACCAGGCTCGGCTGTGGGAAAAGTTCTGGCTCTTCTTGCACTGAATTATAATTGCTTTCCAGCAGGCACAGCAGGAGCCAAGAAGGGCAGTCTTGGGCCAGAGGCTCAACCAGGCTGCAGAGGCTGAGCCTCTCCAGGAGTGTTTCCCAGGAGAGCGGGAGGAGGTGACAGCAGTGGGATAAGGGCACTGCCCATGAAGCAGAGGGCTGGAATAGAAACCATGCACGGCTCTGGGTTGGGACAGACCGAAGCTGACCCAGCCCCTTACTAGCTGAGTGATATTCCTGAAATTATCAAACCCTTAGAACCTTAGTTTATCTACCGAAACAAGGGAGGGAATGGCTACTTTGGAGGACTACTGATGCACGAGCTAAGACCTTCACAGGTCCTGGCCCACAGCAGGGACTTACTAAATGCTCATCACCATGATATTTTCTGCTGGTCACTGATGCCCCGGGCAGGATATGAGTGGGCTAAGGACTGGTGCTGAAGTAGTACCAGCGGCAGCCTCCCGAGAAGCATGTGGGCCTTCCCACCCATCTGGCTCTGCCCAGGACTCACCTCTTCAACGTTGACATTCTCCTTGGCACTGGTCTCAAAAAGCTGGATCCCCATCTGCCCAGCGAATTTATAGGCATCTTCTGTCTCCACCACCTTCCGCTCGGGGTCATCATTCTTATTGCCCACTTCAAGGCAGAACATAGTCAGCTGGTCCTTCAATCCCCCAACCCCACTGTCCCCACCCTCGAAGCCCCGCCTCACCTAGTATTCGGCATACATCATCACAGTTCTGGTTGATTTCGTGAAGCCACCGCTTGACATTGACAAAGGACTCAGCACTGGTGACGTCGTACACCACAATAACCCCATGGGTCCCGCGGTAATACCTGTAAGGGCAGGTTGAGTGGCAGGCTTTAGCCCAGACAAAAGCAGCCCCGTCCCAACCCACAGCAAGGCTGCAGGCTGGGGAAGATAAGGGGGCAACTGTTTGGCACCACCTGGCCTGCAAGGTGGGAATGTGGCAGCACCAGCTCCTCGTGCCTATGCCCAGGGCACCAGCATGGGAGCGGGGCTTGGCCTTGAGGCAGCAGACCAGGTCTGAGGAGTCACCCTAGGTGATTCGGAGTCTGCCACCAACTGGAAACTCTTTGAAGTTCTCATTTTATTTTTAGAATTCAGGTAATTTTTATATTCGACATTGTTATCACTATCCTTGTTTAAACAAAAATGTTTCTCTCAAGTGTGATTTGGTAGTATACCATCCCAAGTTGCTGAAGTTGCTGTACCATTCATGAAGCCCTGGCAGTCTGCCTCCCCTCCCCCAGGGGCAGGTGGCACTTCCCTTCGTACTACTCTTGGCTCATCTGTGTCAGGGACATGGAGAGCATGGAGGCTGTGTGGGCATGCAGCCTGGCTATACCACCCTGCAAACGTGCAGACCCAGACCAGCCAGAAGGTCTGCAAGGAGGGCAGATGTCAAACATTCCTCCCCAGACCACCTGGTACCAAGAACTCCAGTCTGGACATCCCTATTTAGCCTGATGGTTCAGGGGACAGATGAAGGATATCAACCACAGGAGGAAGAGGAGGACAAGGGCTGCATGCTTCCTGACATCCTTCACAGAGCCAGGGCCAGGCAGCACTCCTGCCCCTGACAATGTAACCCCCAGTGCCGTGCCTCTAAGCCTTTGTCCCAAAGAGACTCAATTGGTGGGGGCTTCCATTGCTGGGACAAAAACCAGAGGAAACAGGCTGCTTCCTCCCAACCTTCAGGCCACCACCTACCTGGCCCTGAGCCCCACTCCTATAGTGCACATGGAAAGCAGCTTCTCCCCAAGCCCTGGTTCCAAGGCCGCTAAGCAAGAGTGCAGCAGCTGAGCTGATGGGTGCAGCTCGGTCTTCATCTGCCTGCCAGCTCTGTGACCAACTCTACATATTCATGGCTGAGCTGAGAGCAGAGGTCAACCCTGGCTCCATCTATGAAAGCCTATGGACTTTACAAAGATCACTGCTTTCGGGCTGGGGATTTAGTTCAGTGGTGCCACCGCCTGCCTTGCAAGCACAAGGTCCCAAGTTCAATCCCCAGTACCAAAAAAACAAAAGGAGAGAGTACTGCTTTCACCTCGCCACACTTCAGTTCCTCAACTATAAAAGAGGGACACAATCACTTAACTCTTGAAGTGGTTGTGAGGAATAAAAAAGAAACATGCCACCATGAGGGCTGGGGAGTAGTACAGTAGAAGTGGGTATCCTTCATTATCACCATTAATGTTCCTTCCATGTCAATCTGGGGTCACAGAGGTATCAGGAAACCAAGAGGCAGCACAGCTGGGCAGCCCTAGAGGCTGGAGTGAGAGGAGCAAGAGGAGCCGCTGCCATGTTCAGGGGCCCAGTCCGACCTGTCCATCATCTCTCCGCCCCTCACATACCAGACACCTCATTCTGCCCACAGCTGTGCTCCAGGGCTGCAGTGCTCCTTGGCTGTGAGGAAACTTAGCAATTCCACTGCCTCAACTCTGGGGCTCCAGAACACGCCAGGCCCAGGCCCACAGAGGCAGCTGCTGTCGAGAGTGGCAGCTCAGCATACTGAGCAGCTTGGTGAATACGTCCAGGGCAGGTGCAGGAATATGTGCTGAGAACCACGAGGACAGACAGACAGACTGTCCCCTGCCAGCAAAGGAAATGTGAGCGGCAGAATGCCTCTGCAACTTCTCCTTAGGTGAAGACAACTAAAGAGGCCAAGAAATGCCTCCAGCCAAGGCCTGGGCACAAAGCCCCCTGCTGCTCCCCAGGAACCTCTCCCTGCCCTGGGGGCCATGGAAGGGGCTGTATCTGAGAGCAGAGCTCTAATCTAGAGATGAGGTTATACTTGGCTCTGGCAAGGAGGGACCAGCGCTTCTGAGCTTCCCCTTCCCAGCAGGCAACACTTCCATCCACTGCAACTTTGCTTTAAGCCAGGCACAGCACCAAGAGCTCTGCGTTCACTACCTTATTAATCTAACAACTTGGTTCAACAGGTACCAGGACGGCCATTTTACCAGTCAGGACACTGGGAGGGTGACAGTGGAGTGACAGCTGGAGTGCTGGTGCCCAGTGTGACTCCCAGGCCAGTTCGAGGGGCTTCCCTTTCTCATCCCTGCACCTCGTCTCTCCGTCCCCAGCTGCACCTCTCAGGGCCAGCAAAGCTTAGCTGCCCAGGGAGAGAGCAAGAACACGAAAGGCGGTAACAACCAGGTGCTCTCATTGGGCTACTGGGGTGGAGGTTCCAGTTTCCCTTTCAGCTCCCTGAATCAGAAAAGGTCGTGCTCCTGTAGCAGGACCGCCCCCTCGCTGTACCATCACAGGGTGTCCAGTCTTTCTGTGGCCCCTGTAGCGCCTCCTGCCTCATAAGGGGCCAAGCCACCAACCTAACATGTGGCCAAGCCTCAGCCTCTTCAGACAGAGAGGCAGGCCAGCCAGCGGGGGCTGAGCCAGTGCCCACAGGCCACCAGCATGCAGGTCACCCCTTCTCAAACACCCTTGAAAAAGCACATATTACCCTGGCCCCTGAGTAACTCCAAGTCTCCCAAACAGAAGGAAGAAGCACTTCCCTGTCCCCACCCAGACCAGCCCTGAAAGGAACTGCCTTCCTGGAGACTGGGGATGGCTAGGCAGACCCCGTACCCTGGTCCAAGCATTTCCATGACCATAGGCCACTGTCTCTGCCACCTTGAACCCCCGACTGGTTTTAACCCCCAGGAAGGAGGCCATCTCCCTCACCCCAGTGCATGGCATGCCAGAGACCAGTACCAGCCTGGGTAGAGGCCAGAGCTTTGGCATCAGACAGACTTCAGTTCTGATCCTAAGCAACTAAGTTATTCACTTCGTCCTCTCTGGGCCTATTTTCTCAGCCATAAAATAGAGATAATCATAAGTCTCTTCAAATGGGATTAAATGAAATAAAGTAGGTGAAGTCTTTAGTGATGAATCAGGTGCAATAAGGAAGTGTGGGGTCAGTGCCCAGACCTGATGACCTTGACCTCCTACAAGGGTCTCCTGCTCAGGCCTGTAGGCTCCGGGCTGCCTGAAGCTCTAGGTGTCGGTGCTAACTCAAGGAGCCCGACCCCTCCCCTTTTCCTCCAGTCTTCAGACACCCAGCGGCCTGAGAGCCCTTATGAAGGAAACTCCAAGCACTGTGCTCAGGGAGCACCAGGTCTGCTCACCACAGGGTTAATAATGACAGAGAACCTCTTGCCCACCAGTACAGTCTGCATGTCAGCCTGGCCCTCTCCCTGCCCAGCCCACACTCCCCACCACCATGAAGGTGATCAAAGGATGCTGAGGGGCCAGGATGGGGACCAGACTGGGCTCCATCCTGACTCCAAGTCGAAGGGAGGACAGGGGTCTCTGGCAGGGAAACTTCCCTATTCCACTCAGAGGAACTGCTCTGGAGGGAGAACAAGAAGTTCTCCACGTCTTGTGCAGGCACTAGGCATGGAGCCCAGACTACCACCCTGGGTGCAGACCACTCCTCAGAAGTGCCCCCAACGGTCAACCAAGGATAAGAGTAACAATGAGTAGAGAGAACATGTCAGTTCCCCAAGATGACCCAGAAGGCCCAAAGTCCCCAAGCAGGGGACCCAGGCACAGACCTGACCATTCAAACAAATCCTAAAGAGAAGGGCTGGGAGCTTGCCACATTAAACCTCTCCTCCTTTTAAAAAAGAAAAGATAAGCTCTAGGGACACAGCTCAGTGGTGGAGCACTTACCTAGCACACATGAGGCCCTGGGTTCAATCCCTAGTACACAAATAAAAAGACCTAAAGATAAACTCTCTGAGAACCAGAAGCGTAGAGTTTAGGCAGCTTGCTCAATGATATACAGCAGAACAGAAATTTAAATCTCAAACTGTCTGCCTTCGAACCATGCTCTTTCTGAAACCTGATCCATTAGCAGCCTAAAAACCAACAGCCCCTCTCAGGACTCAGAGCAAGAGCTGGGTTTTGCTCCAGTGTGCAGCTAAGAATACAAAGGTGCAGCAGCAGTACTAAAGGAAGACTTTCCTGTCGAGCGCTTTGGGAGGCAGAGGAAGGGCCTCCCACATAGCCATGTTCCTCCCAGGCTTCAGGAGAGTCACCTCCGAGGAGTCAGGATGGGTGATGGAACCCGCACAGAGAGGACACCTGCCAAGAGGAACCGTCACTGCCTTGGGCAGGGCACATCATACCTGGTGAGGCAAACATAACTGCTAGTGCCATTTTAAGGAGTGGCCAACCAGAGGGTAAAGCTGAGTGCCGAAGGGGAGGCACATGCTCACTGTCCTGCCAGAGACCTGACAGGGTGTTCAGCCACTGCCTGCCCGCCTACCCAGAGCACCAGACACAGCACGTCTCCACCTCTTCTCACATTTTCAGGAAGAAGAAAGGCACAACCAAACCCTACCCACCGAGGCCAGCAAGAGCTCACTTCCTGATAGCTTTGGGGACCCACCCAGTGACAATTCCATCGTGACCAGTACTGTCACTCAACTTCTTGCTAACAAACATCCTAGGCCAGAGGTCAAGCGGAGGTGAGGTGGGGCCAAACTCACGTGGAGGTGATGGTGCGGAAGCGCTCCTGCCCAGCTGTGTCCCAGATCTGCAGCTTCACTTTCTCCCCGTTGATCTCCACAGTCCGAATCTTGAAATCCACTCCAATTGTGGTAATGTAGCTGCCTACACACAGCCAGCACATCAGCAAGGCCCAGCAGGGAGCCCCCGTCAGACCCCATGTCCCCAACTGCACATGGCAGACCTTCGGGCTCCATGACCCCTCCCCCATGTGCCCCACACCATCTGGGCCTCCCCAGAACACAGCCCTCAACAAGGAAGATGCAGACTGCCATGATGGCATCCACGATGGAGGTGAGATAGGATACAATGGAACAGATAACAATTACAGAGTGATAAAGACTACAACACAGGGGATATAAGGGCCGGGGATTTAGCTCAGTGGTTTCGCCGCCTGCTGCACAAGCGCAAGGACCTGAGTTCAATCCCCAGGACCAAAAAAAAAAAAGATTTAAACAAAAAAGGGGATATGACAGGGGAAGAGGAACAGGCTCTGTTAGAATGGCCAAGGTGGATGTGAGGGCAGTCTGGCTGCGACATTTGTCACCCTATTGATCTCCAGGGTTGATCTGGCTGGCTAGGTGGGTGTCCCCTTCCTCCCTCACCGCTCCATGTGCGTCCCTCCCAAAGCTGCGCACTCGGTCGAAGAGGACGACCACCCCTGATAGAGAAGGACCGTTTCCTCGGTCAAGGGCATACAAGTAGCTGCGCTCCCCTGCTAGAACCTCCAAACAAGCTCTCAAGGTCCATCTGTAGAATGGCCAAGGTGAGGACATGCCAGCCATGAGCTGAGAATGGGTCAAACCTGCGTTTTTCTATTCTTTCAAAAAAACTTTAATGACCCACAAAATTGACTTCCTAACACACAAACAGGACCAGACCTGCAGTCTGAAAAACACTGCTCTAGTAACCAAGTGTGGTGGCACATGCCTGTAATCCCAGCACTCAAGAGCCTGAGGCAGGAGGATTGCCATGAGTTTAAAGCCAGCCTCAACTACATAGTAAGTTCATAGGCCAGCCTGAATTACAAAGCGAGAACCCGTCTCAAAAAAAAACCGAAAAAACAAAAAAAAAACACTGCTCCCCACAGAGACAGTAGCAAAATAGCAATGGGGTCATATAAGGTCAAGCCCAAGGTGGGAGGCGGTAGAGGAGGTCAAAGCCAGATCTCCAGGCCTCTGACATTTTCAAGAACCTGGACTCCTGTGGGTCATGGGGATATACCCTGAGGATTTTTTTTTTTTGTACTGGGGATCGAACTCGGGTCCTTGTGCTTACGCAGCAGGCGGCAAAACCACTGAGCTAAATCCCCGGCCCCTGCCCTGAGGATTTTAACGAGTGGTGTAAGCTACATTTTAAAGGGATCTCTTGGACCTTTGTGTGAAAGATGAATTTGAGAAGAAAGTCTGGCAATAGTCCAGGCCACTCTTACAAAGGCCTGGCCACTAAGAACAACAGGTTCTCACTCCATTCAGAGCTTACCACACAATATCCTGCAGGAGACAAGACACACAAAAGACCATGCAGAGGCCGGGGATTTAGCTCAGTGGTGCTGACGCCTGCCTCCCAAGCGGAAGTTCCCAAGTTTCAGTCCCCCATACCAAAAAAAAAAAAAGACCATGCAAAGTGTGACAAGTGCATAGGAAAGGTCAAGGTGGGGTGGGAATCAAGGCAGGCTTGGGGTGGGGGAGGAACTAACATTTGGACCTAATTTAAAATAGTTAAGATTATCAAAGGCTGAGATCATGAGGGGAAAAGACATCCCACACAGAGGCCAAAGCCCAACCAGAAGACATCCAAAAACCAAGCCAGCACCTGGTGCTCCTCTAGTCCTGGACAATGCCAAGGAGTGTGGGCCAGCACCTCAGATGGTTAGGCACTCAATAAACAGTTGGTGGCTGAGTGAACGAGCGAGTGCTCAAACAAAAAAAAAAAACAAGCAAACAAAAGAATGAGCAGGCTGTATGAGGAAGAAAACTGGAAATAAATTGCAACCAAGATGGTTCTGTTCCCTATGGGACACTTGGCAAAGTCTGGAGACATTGTTGGCTTTGTCACACTGTTGTCAGCATCTAGTGGTTAGATATAACCCAGGTGTACTGCGCAACATCTTTCAACACACAGGATGGCCCCACAACACAGAATTAGGGGGTCCATGTATCCACAGTGCTGAAGTAGAAAAACCTTCCTGTAAACTCTGCTCTGGTGAGAGAGGACTGCCAAGTTTTTTAAACAGAGGAAGGACCCTGCCAGAGATATGTATCAACAAGATGAACTCAGTGGTGTGGGACAAGATGGGTAGGAACTACCATAATGCTTCCAGCTAGAACCAATGAGATAAAACACTGTAGTAGACATGGAGAGACTGCAAATGAGACTTCCCTAAGAGTTGAAAGCTGATTAGAAAGGAAGTTAGACCAACATTAGGGAGGAAGAGGATGTTTTCCAGCATAAGTAGAGGGTGCCCAGTAGTTAACATTCTTGAGGGGCCAGGGATTTAGCTCAGTGGTTTCGCCGCCTGCTGCACAAGCGCAAGGACCTGAGTTCGATCCCCAGTACCAAACAAAACAAAACAAAAGTTAACATTCTTGAACAGAAGATAACAACAACGACTGGTATTGACTACTAGGCTCCAAATACTGTGCCATGTGCTATCTCAGGTGACCCTACAACAATCGTGACAAAGGGACAATTATGATTCCTCCTTCACACCTGAGCTGAGGCTCAGTCATGCCCTCATGGTCACTGAGAAGTTAACTCTTTCCAACACCAACAGTGCTACAGAGCTGTTGCTGAGGAATGAGAGCAAAACCCATTTCTCCACCAAGAGAGATCAGCCATATGATCACTTCCTAAGCACAACTTGCCCCTCAAACACGTCAGAGGGAATTCCCCACAAGACAGTCGCAGTTCAGTCCTTAATCACAGAGCTGGCCCAACCTGAACCCCTGTAATAAACAGCATTTTTTTTTCTTTTTTTTGTACCGGGGATTGAACTCAGGACCTCACACTTGCCAGGCAGGCACTGTGCTGCTGAGCTACATCCCCAGCTCTAAACATGATGTATTTAACAAATGAGAACACATACAGATTTAAGCAAAACAGTACTTTTGGCCTATTCCCTATTCAAGGTAGCAGAATCTAGGAAAACTTTAAATGCACAGATCCTGTGACCTAGTAATCCCTCTCCTATGGAACTGAATGTACCAGAATAAACATACAATGTATCCCAGTAATGCAGCATCACTTGAAACAGAAGCAAAGAGAAACCACACACTTAACAAGAGCATTGCTAATGAATTATGGTGCATCCAGGCACAGCACAGCAAGCTGCACAACACTGCAAGCTTCACTGCCACTGAAAAGGACCAGAGAGGGCTGTAGACAGCAACAGAGAAGCATGCTCCTGGTTCCAGTGGTGGCAAACCTATGGTGTGAAGCCGAGGGTTATTTGTATCACTGAAACCTCTAAAAGGCTGGCTATCACTGATGACAGACTAAGAGAAGGGCAAGTTTCTAAACAGTAGGTGGGTTCACAAAAAAAGTCAAAAGATACACCACACACTGAACAGAGGCTCCCAGGGGAGCAGGCCAGGAGCAGGGACAACTGTATTCTTCCTGTTACTAACGTCTTCCTGTTGGAAATTTTACATAAGCATGTACTATCTAGTAGTATTTTTAAACTTTGTTTTCAGAGATGAACCAAAGACTCCCCTAGGAAGGGAAATGATGAAGGGTAACAGGACTTTTTTCAACAAGATGGACTGAGGCAGAACAGGCTTTGGTGTTAGGCATGATCTGGGGCTCCACAAGCATTCAACCACTGAGCTACATTCCCAGCCCTTATCTCATTTAGGTCTTGCGAAGTTGTCCAGGCTGGACTCAAACTGGATCCTCCTGCCTCAGGCTAAGGAGCTGGAATTATAGGTGTGTGCCACCATGCCAGGCTAAACAAAGGCTTCTTGACCTAAGCCTCCCACCCTTTTTTTTTTCCTCCCCTGGCAGCCAAAGGGAGAAAGTTCTCTACATAGAGAGGAGTAAGTATCTTCTAGTGATGGGGCAAGGTATTTCAAAACTGCAACACCAGAGAGACTCACCTGAGAAAGTGTTGTCTGCGAATCGTAACAGTAGACTGCTCTTGCCCACACCTGCAGGAGAGAAAGCACCAAGATAAGCAAGCTGGCAGGTCCCTTCCTCCAACCCCATCCTTCCTCAATGAGATAATGCCTCAGTTCCAGCTCTTAAGAAGCTCAGCGGGGCCAGGGCTCTTCTCAAGGCCACTTCCCATCCCCCTAACTAGCCAGACACCAAGAATGAATCTTCCAGCCCCCTCATCTTTTCCTTCATCCTCGTATAAGACAAGCAGCTCCCAAATTCCCAGGCTTTGTGCTAAGCGCCCAGGCCCCAGCAGCCCAGAGGGAGATACCAGACAACAGAGACAGATCAGCCTCCTGACAGATCAGATCAGGAGGAAGGACAACCAAGTGAGACTGGCCCCCAACTCCATGCAAAACACGGTCCTAGAAAACCTCATACCACACATGGAGCTTCAGGGGTTTTTTTCTGTTGTCCTTTCTAAAAAATTAGTGCATGAATATATTCATCATGGGGAGGTAGTATGTGTACAAATCACATCTCAATCCTTGGAGCTTCAGTTTTCAAGTAGTCTGAAACAAGGAACTGTAGAGCTGTAAGGAACCCCTGAACTCGTCAGGGCATTTGTGTAGGTGAGGAAACTGAGATCCATACAGCTAGACCTATGTGTCAGCCACGTTCCTTGGCTGAGCCAATGCCACCTGAGCGGGTGGGGTAGGGTTAAGTGCTAGACACCCATCAGGCCACCAGCCTAATGCACTCAGACCACTGCACTTTAGCACAGCAGCTCCTAGCTGCTTCTTCCACAGCTGGAACGCTCATAAGCCTTGCTTCCTCCCTAACCTCAGCACACAGCAACTCTGGCCTGTCAAAGTGCATCTGCCTGTGCCAGGTCCTCCTGACCCATCCCTGACCCCACCACCCCTAAATTCAGCTGGACCAACCAACCTCTTAAGGAAAGAATTAACATGCTTATGTTCCACTGCAAGGCAGGCACTCTGATGCACCCAGAATTAACTACATCTCCTCAGATGAGGTGGCTGTGGCCCCAAGAATCTGAGCAGTTGAGCTAAAGTGCCTCCACAGGAAGTCATAGGGCCAAAAGCCAAATCCAGGGCTCCAAAGCACCACTCGAGCCAGTCATGGTGGTGTGCACCTGTAGTCATAGCTTTAGGGAAGCTGAGGCAGGAGGATTGGCAGGAGTTCAAGACCAGTCTGGATTACATAGTGAGTTCAAGGCCAGCATGAACTACATAGCAAGACTCTGTCTTTAAAAACAGAGAGACAGAGACAGAGACTCCCAGTAGCTACTGCCAGGACAGTCTTGCACCTATCTCAGGAAGGGGAATAAAGCAACCCTGTGGAGCTCCTGTATCTCATTCTTGTTAGATTATTTTTCCCATTTTTATCAGTTTGTAAGTTTCTAGTTCACTTTTGTGTATTTCTTTTTGTAAAGATGAGATTTTTGATGGAAATAACATCAAAGCTACGAGATCTTAATTAGGATTTCATAAATGCCCTGCAACTACATACATGCAAATGCAGCTGAGCACATGTGCCTATTTGTGGAAGAAGCCTATAGCTTTAATCTGATTCTCAAAAAGGGTACTGCTCCACCCCCATCCCCCAAGTCACCAAAACTGTAAACCACTGCTGCAGACTGAGCACACTCCAACACCCGACATCCTCTCTGGCTGTCCCCTCCAAGGATCATTTCTGTGGACTTCACTAAGTGAGTTGTCCAGGATGCCCAGACGACCTTGTTTCTCTGCCTACACTTGGCCCCTACCTTCCCAAAGACGGGCTGGGGGCGAGGCTCCTCTGAGCAGACAGGTACTGCTCTCAAGGCACCTGTAGTTCAGCCCCGCCTGCAGCACTCTTGCTCAGCACCACTTCCTCATTGCTCTGCCGGGAGGGTTCCTGCTAAGCCTAGGGAAGCCCAAGTTCTGGGCTGGGTCCTCACAGCCTTTTGCCTGACACCAGCACCCCATTGGCCCCGCTGCATCCTTGCTTCCTCTTGGAGCCTTCTGGGTCCAGCTTACTTAGCTAAAAGCTCATGTCTGGGCCACTAGGCTGTGAGATCCTCTGGGATGCAGACCTCGCCTCATTTATCCTGTGCATTCACAGTCCTGTAAGCTGGGCCCAGCACTTAGGCACATCAGTTATGACTGAATAAATGCCAATCTCACTGACAGCTACTGCTATCTAATGCTACTACTAAAGAATTAACAGAAGCCAAAACAGTAGTTTTCAAATGGGGGGAAGGTAGAATCTTGTATTTAAATTAAACTTTATCCAACTCCCAGATATCTACAACAAACAAGGGAGAGGTGCTCTCTGCAATGACACAGCAGCTTCGGACAACTGTGTAATTTGAGGCAAGCCCCTCCACTTATCCCCAAATTCCTCTGCCAGAGCAGCTAAAAACCACTAACCACTACAGTTGCCACAGGACCCCCTGCTTTGGGCCTGACCCCAACCTCTTGACATTGCTCTCCCTGAGAGAAAAAGAAACCCACTGAGTTGAGCCATCTCCCAAATACCCTTGCCAGAGCTTCCTTGGAAAACATACTACCACTTACCCTACAACACTGGCCCAAGGAAGGGAAGAAGCAGAAGTTATCCATCTACTTTCACCACAGCCAAAGCTTCCTTTAGCCACATCTAGCATGAAATGCAGCCACTCCAGCTCTATTACCTCCTATGCTGCAAGAAGCACAGGCCCTAGTGGCACTGGATGCCTCTTGGTAGCCAGGGAACACCACACTTAGTCATTGTCACACTGCCCTGTGTGCTGCCTCTGGTCCTCCTCATGCCAGCCACACTGAAGTCTTCACCCTGGCCCTGCTCCTCCATGGGACTACAGGCCCCTCACCCTCAGTTCCAACTTACCGAAGACCTTTAGACCATCAAGTGAAGTGTCTCAATTTTAATCCTGCCTCAACAATTCCCTCATGACATAAACTCAGAGAAGTCACACTCCCCTCTCTGAACCTCTGAAGGACTTTAAGAGGTCTCTGATGGCCACTCCAGCCCTCAGGTTCTAAGAATGAGGATGGCTGGCCCAATGGATACAGATGAAATGCTGTTACAAATTAAATCCAGTGTCAGAAGAACATAAGAGACAATGTAAAACAACAGGGATAACGAAGAGAAGCAAAAGCTAAGGAAATATATTCCAGAAGCATGTACAATATGACAGAGTGGGAAGAAGACTCTAGATTTATAAAGCAAGAAACTAACATCCATTGAGGGCCGACTGTCTGCCAGCCCACCAGCTGCTCTCACACATATGATCATACATGTGCATCAACTCTCAGCTTTGCTTCTGACAAACTGTGTGATTTGGGGCAAGCCAGTCATCTCCTCTGTGACTTAGTTTCCTTATTTTACAAACCACACGGCCAATGGGTGAGAATCAGATGAGAGGGTGTCTGTGAAATCATTTGATGTACCCTAGGGAGTTACACACACAAGGATCCCAGAGTGACAATGTCGGCTCCTCACTCAACTGTAAAGCTTACTACTTTGAACTCCAGCTCTGTCTCATAAGTGTTTAGCTTTGAGTATCAGTTCACTGTCAGAAGAAATCAAACAGCAAAGCAATCTGCCTCCTCTCCGCAATCTAGGCCTGCATGCTCAGACTCACCTAGGACCCAGACCACATAAATCTTGACTCAATGAGTCTTCTCCCACATCTGACTTCTGAGTGAAAAATCAATACACCATGCAAAATGCACTGTGAGAAAGCAGGCCAAAACCATCCCCTGGGGTTTACAGGAAAGAAAAGCCAACAAACTGCATCTTCTTGCTGGATTTAGGCCTTTCGCTTTTGAATATCAGTGCTCAGGGCCCAGATGGCTTGCAAAGGGATAAAGAAGACAACGTCTGACCACACAGGACTGATTTTTAGCTTCAAAGCAGAGAGATCACCCTGGTGCCAGTCACTCAGAACCAAGGCCAGAATGGGAGGAAATCCTAAGAAGACCCTCAGGACCCCAGGAGTGCCGAAGGCCATGACTAAGTGCAAAACTACACAGCTCGCCTGGTTTTCTTTCATTCAAACCACAACCAATCAGTCCTCCACCTTTCTAACCCTTTCCCAACCACAGTTACTCTTCCATCTCACTGGTTAGCCCCTAACTTTTCCCTTTACATCTGTCCTCCACCAGCAACAACGAAAAACCCTAGCCAACTTCCACCTGATCCAAACCACCAACCACATCCCAATCCAGCTTTACAAGTGAGACCAAACACTACTCACTTCCATGACTTATCTCTGACACTGTCACCCACCACTCCTGTATTCTGGGTCTCACTAGGAATCTGGGCCTCTCTTTCTTTCACAATCCATGGGCTCTAGAACCAACCTCGCCTTTGCATTCAGCCATATGGCCCTCTTCTCCACTCAACTCGGGCCTGCTCCATAAACTTAGCTGCACCCCAAGCCTCCTTCCTGGACATCATACAATCCCAGCACCTCAGCTATGTTTCCATAAAGCTTCTGGGGCCTGCCTCCCTGACCTGTTGTTCACCCATAAACCTTCTCACCTGTCATATTCCAAACACCTCTAAAACCCTCCACCCTTTGCCAGTAGCCAGTCCATCTTTGCTCAGGTCACTCAATGTTCATTCATTCAACAAATACATAGTAAGCACTTACTGGGTGCCAGGTACTGTTCTACAAACTGGAGATGGAGCAGAGATCTGAACTAGAAGTATTCAAGAAGTGTGCATGTAGCCATAACACTTCTGTAATACTGGCCAACACCAAACCCCCTCTGATAGATAGCAGAGTAACAGCAAACATTTACTGACCACTTGCTGTGTGCTAGGCTCAGTTCCCAAACATGATCTGTGCACCATCTCACTGAATACTCACATGGCACTATGAGGCAGATCTACTGTTATTCCATTGCACAGATGAGGAAACTGAACCATGTAGAGATTTAATATTCCAGCAGGAATGTGCTGAAGTGCTTTAACTGTCTTTAAACCTCAGTTTAAACCTCTTAGCAATCCCAGGAGCCTGGTTCTAGGAATATTTCCATTTCACAGAGAAGTGAGCCTCACAAAGGATACTGCTGAGGAAAACGACACTAGTTAACATTTACTTAGGGCTTACATACACCAGCTCAGGCGCCAAGCACTTTGCCTACTTTATCTGACCGAATACTCACACCACCCAGCGAGGCAAGTCCCCTACTTCTCAGATGCAGGAACTGAGGCTCAGAAAGATGAAGCAACTTGCCCAAGGTCACAGAGCGAAGAAGCTAGTAGTCCCAGGACTCGAACCTAGGTCTCCCCAACTCCACTGATCGAGCGACTTGACCAAGGTCACACGTGAAGCAGGAGGCGGCGCGGGGAGTGGACCCCGCGCGCCCGGGCCCTTGGCTCCGCAGCCCGGCTCCCTGGCCTCCCCTTGCAGCGCCCCTGGGGCCCGCGGCCGCTGGGCAGCCCCGCCCCGCGCGAGCCGGCAGCTCCCTGTCCGCCCCGAGGCCCCGGCGGGCCGCGCCCGGCAGGGCCCGCGCCACCTCCGGCCCCTGCGGCCCTCACCGCTGTCGCCGATGATGAGCAGCTTGAAGAGGTGGTCGTAGTCCCGGGCCATGGCGGGCGGGGGCAGTGCGCGCGGGCGGGCGGGGTCGGTACTGGCCTCGCGAACCGCAGCTCCCTCCGGGCTGCTCCGGCAGCAGCGGATTCACTTCCCGAACAAACAGCCGGAACTGACAGAAACACCTCCCTCCGCTCCCCCTCCTTCTCCTCCTCCTCCTCAGCTGCCGCCGCCGATGCCACCGCCTCCCTCCTTCCCGCCCCGCCCCGTTACTGCGCAGGCGCAGGGCCTGGAGCCACCTCTGCGCAGCCGCAAACCCGACCGGCCGCGCCCTCGTCGCGCACGCGCACCGCGCACGCGCCTTACCCAAATCCCGGCGGGCGCGGGCGCGTTTTCCTCAAAGCTCATTGCCACCGTCCGTGGTCCTCAGTGCTTGCGGGGTGGAGCCACTGTCTAGCTCTAACAGAAGCGAAAGGTGCCAGAGGAGCCTGTCCGTGGATGTCCTCGCTCCTTCATCTTCAAGAGCCCCGCACACGCTGCAAAGAGGAAACGACAGGCACGGAGCGGCCGGGGGGGTGGTTCACCCCGAGCTCCGGGTTCCTCCAGTCCCGGGACTGTGCGGCGGTGAAGACTTGGCCACTCCGCCCCCTCTCGGCGTTGACGCTGCTTCCGCGCTGCTGGACCGCCGAGGTGGCTGCCTAGTTAGGACAAGAGTCGCCCGCTGGAGCGTAGCGGTTCGGAGCGTGACTTGAGGTCAGCGCTGGCTGGAAATCACACACTAGTCTTGTGACCTCTGGAGCCCGAGTTGTCTCTTTGGTTAAAGGCTCTTGGTAGTTGCAGATTCGAGTCCTGTCCAGCTTGAAGCTGAGCCTGGGAAATGGGTGACCCTCTGTATGAGGCGCACCCTAAACGACGAAAACAGCCTCTGCCTTGGCTTCAGTTTCACACCACCAGCAGATATAGATCTCAAAATCGTGTGGTTAAGGCTGGGCCGCCAGCAATTGAGCAGCGCTCAGTACCTCAGCTCCAGGTTTTTCCAGTTTTAGAATGAGCTCCCACCTGCCCTACCCTTTAGAACTGGAAAGTTGTTTCCACTGCTATGCTACTATAAAACTGTTGAGATTTTCAAGTTCCTTATTATCTGTTTCTGATAACCCTGTCCCTTTCCAGTCAACTGTCCCGTTGGATAGTTCTATTTATTTTATCAAATTTCCTTTTCTTTCACTTTATAAAAGCAATGATCGTGGTTTTCAAAAAAAAAAAAAAATGCAGGGCAGGCACAGTGGTGCACATCTACAATCCCAGCTACAGGGGAAGTGGAGGCAGAAAGATTGCAAGACCAAAGCTAGTCTGGACAATTTAAGGAGATCTATCTCAAAAATGATTAAAAAGGGCAGAGAAGGACCTGGGATTTAGCTCAGTGATTCTGCCACCTGCCTCGCAAGCGCAAGGACCTGAGTTCGATCCCTGGTACCAAAAACTAAAATGTTCAACAAATATTAGTTGAATGCATAAATGGCCTTCCATGAATTTCCTATGCCTGTACAAACACATATATGTATATTGGCTTTTAGTCTTTAACAGTATCTTTAACATATCAGCTGGATGGCATGGCACTCCCTCTGATGGTTGTACTATCGTTTAATCAATGCTGCTAATAGGCATTCATGCAGTTCCTAATTTTTTGTTGTTATTATTAACAGTGTTGCAGGCAAGATCCTTTAGTAGCAGATGGAGTATCTGACTCAGGGCTTGAGTTGTTTTTCCAGGAGCAGAGAATCAGTGTGATGTCAGATGAGCATGAACTTGGAACCTAAAGGTATTGGCTGGGGAGAAGAGTTGCTCATGTGCTCTTGATTGAAAAGCCCTCCTTGGCCTGGGGAAGTTGGTGTCATCCCCTTTGTCCCAGCGGTTTTAGGAAATAAGCCTCAGGGTAGCCATCAGACAAGCATACTGGCCCTGACAGTGCCTGTGAGGCAGCTGGTCACTATATCATCTTCACAACCTTCTCTGGGGCCAGAAAGACTTTGGTTTTGATGCCAGCTTTGAAAGCTAGTTTCCACCCCAAAAAGCTTATGGATGTGTCAGTACTGTCTTGGAGCCCCAGTTTCGTCACAGAATCTTGTGGCTGCCAAGATATACTTGTAAGTGACCTGACACATAGTCTGTGACAAATAGCTAATGTTAATCAAGGTCATTTGGCACTGACCCCTTCCTGATGTTACGGGTGCAGAATACTTTGGAGAAGTAAAGCATAATTGGCCATTATGAAGATGAGATTCCTGATTTTTCCCAGGATCCATCATCTGGAACACAGTAGGCATTAATTCCTCCATTTAGTAACTAACAGGTGCTTACTATTTATTATGTCCCATGGATTGTAGAGGACATAAGAATAGAACCTTTTCCCTCCAAATGTTCACTGTCATATTAGAGTTAAGATACAAGGAATTAAAAATACATGATCATGAAGTAGAATAGCTGTCAAATAAGCTGTCTAGACTTCAGAGCAGGAAAGCTATCGCTGCTATTAGAATGATGGGGGAAAGATTTCATGATGACACTGGAATATGAGAGAGCCTTGAATGACAGCTGCTGTCACAGCCTATGAGAATCATCAATTTGGCTTGGAGACAGAATTCCCTACAGGCCAAGATGTGTGCCTGGCATCCCAAAATGAATCTCAGCCATTTTTCTATAGAAATATTGTTTTACATTTACTTCAACCACTGTTCAGTAAATATACAGTATATACAGTTTTATATATATATATATATGTGTGTGTGTGTGTGTGTGTGTGTGTGTGTATGTGTGTGTAAACTTCTATGACCTGATCAGTATGTAGCAAGGATAGCAAGCTTTTTCCTATTCTGAGCAGCCAGCTTACAGTTGAGCCTTTGCATTATCACCTGTTTGTACATTAGTATAGCGGGGAAGCCCTGGAGTTTTTTGAGCAGAGGAGCAATATCACAATTCCTTTTTTTTTTGGTACCAGGGATCAAACTTAGGACCTTGTGCTTGCGAGGCAGACAGCGGCACCACTGAGCTAAATTCCCAGCCCAACAATATTATTTTAATAAAAGAATATTATTTTGGGGGGCCGGGGATTTAGCTCAGTGGTTTCGCCACCTGCTGCGCAAGTGCAAGGACCCGAGTTCAATCCCCGGTACCAAAAAAAAAAAAAAGAATATTATTTTTAACAAAATAATGTGGCACATGCATGCAGGATGGACTTCACCTGCAGAGCTTTAAAGGTTACTGTTGAAGCTCAGGTGTGAGGTAACAACAGGAAGAGGCAGATGCAAAAGACAATGCTAACAATAGCAACTAGACAAAGCAGCTTTTAAAAAAAAATCAAAATTTACCTAGCAACAGGGTTCATTCACTGATTCAGTAGATGAATTAGCCTAGTAAATGGCTTTCTAGGTGCCAGTGTGCTGAGCACTAAAAACAAAATGAGCAAAACAAAACCCTTGTCCTTCAACAATCATTCATCCCTAAGGGGCTGGGGATTTAGCTCAGTGGTTCCGCCGCCTGCCTTGCAAGCAGAAGGACCCGAGTTTGATCCCTGGTACCAAAAAAAAAAAAAAACAATCATTCATTCCTTCAAGTGTTTGAAGGCCTGCTGTATGTCTGCCACTGACCTAGGAACTGTAGATTTAGTGATAAGCAAAAATCCCTGCTTTCAGGGAACTTCTGTTCTAGTAGAGAGCATGAGCAATAGAGATGTGAAAAGGGGAAAGTAAACCATAGTAAGCCGGATGGGGAATATGCAGAGGTGTACAGGAACCGACGGTGAGGGTAAGGAGGTGGCAAGCCTCAAAAGAATGGCTCATGGTTGGGCTGGGGATTTAGCTCAGTGTTTTCGCCCCTTGCTGCGCAAGCGCAAGGACCTGAGTTCGATCCTGGTACCAAAAAAAAAAAAAAAAAAAGAATGGCTGGTGGAGAACACTGGGGCTGGGTTTTTTGGGTTTTGTTTGGAGTTTTTTTGGCACTGGAAATCGAACTTGGGACCTTTTGCTTTCGAGAAAGGCACCAGAACCACTGAGCTAAATCCCTGACCCAAGGGTATTTTTTTATTTTCAGGAAAGAAGAGAGGATGAACAGCAAGTCGGTGGTAAGGATTGAATATTTTTGGAGAAGATGGGCTAAAACCACTTCAAAGAGTTTTACATTTGGCAAGAAGGAGACCGAGGAAGTAAGGTATCACCAGTGGGAGGCAGAGAGGGCAAAGAAGAAGGGGACCTCAGGCTGGGCCCATGGAGGCAGAGGCACCAGTACCTCCTGCCATGCAGAAGCCTGGCGGGCCCTGGGATCCCCAGATTTCAGATATCAGGCATGGGTTCTGAAGTTGCTGAGTGCTAGGAACACTGCTGTGATCATGCAAGGTGGTAGTGGTAGTGAGTTAATTCAGAGAAAGCAGGTAAATAGGATGATAGGGACCTTAAATGCCAGGTGGAGGCAAATTTCAGTATGCCGGCCCAAGAGGGAAGAAAATAGCATCTGACTGCTCCCTTTGATAGAAGTGGAAATTGGCCGCTTATCCTATATCTGCGAGCCCAATGCCATTTCCAGTGACTTGGCAGTGGGTCTTGCCCTGACGTTACATGGCTTCCAGAAACCAAATGACATAAATTCTGTGACTGTAGCAACTATGTCTTAATTCATCTAGCACACAGTAAGTGCTTGGTGTCTTGAATTGTAGTGAAACTACATGTAGAATTTTTTTTCCCAGTGTTAGAGATTGAACCCAGGGCCTACACACTGAACTACATTCTCATCCCTTTTTTATCTGAGACAAGGTCTCGCTTAATCACTAAGTTGCCCATTCGGGGCTTCATTTTGCTATCCTCCTGCCTCAGCCTCCCAGGGTGCTGGAGTTATAGGCATGCACCACCACTATGACTAGCCACATGTACAATATTAAAAGAATTGAGAGGAATGTCAGAAATAACCTAGTTGAGCTGGGTGCAGTGGCACATGCCTGTAATCCCAGCTACTAGAGGAACTGAGGCAAGAGGATCAAAAGTTCAAGGCCAGCCTGGGCAGCTTTGTAAGACTTGTATCAAAGTGAGAAAATAAATAAATCAAAAGGGCTGAGGGGCTGGAGATTTAGCTTAGTGGCACCATGCCTGCCTCACAAGCACAAGGTCCTGAGTTCGATCCCCAGTAGCATAAAAAAAGGTGGGGGCTGAGGATGTAGCTCAATGGTAGAGCACTTGTCTGGCACATGCATAGCCCTGAGTTCAATCCTCAGCATTGTAACAAAATAAAGTCATCCAGTCGAACCCTCTTAAGTTTGCTTTCTGTGGAAGTATGGGCCACATTTGAGGTCTTGTTTAATTCAGGGTCAACTTCCCCCTCTGCTGACTGCCAAGCCATCCAGATCCACGATTTTTTCCTTCATCTTTTGGATTAGTGGTCTGGGGGAACTCAGGACTTCCCAAGACCCTCTCCTTTTCCTCTGGAAAGTGAGAATATTTTCATAATTGTATTTTGCGTTTTACTCATTCACTTACAAGTCTGGTGTTTTCCAGGGTTTATGGGACACATGACATAATAGACTGCATGCAGTAGATGTGAGAATGCAGACCCTAGACTTACAAAAATGCCAGGCAATGCCTCTTAACATGATTTTTGTTTTGGAAAAGTTCTATCTGTTACGGTTATTTATGCTTACAGGTACTGGGTTTATTTTTTAATGAAGACTTTGTGGTTTCTAAAATGGCAAAGATCAATAGGTAAAATACACATAAGCAAGAGCTTTTGGGGTTCTTAATCATTTCTCAAAGTATAAAGGCATCCTGAGGCCAACATGTTGGAGAAAATCCAGGCCAGATACTGCCCCACCTTGGCTTCCTACCTCAGTTTGTGTGGGCATCAAAGTGGCGAGAAGGGTCAGCACAGCTTCCTCTGGTGGGAGCGAGAGCTGAGGGGATTCCATGCACTCACCATCTCCGTGAACAGGCTGCCATCTCAAGAAAGAAGCCATGTGGAATAGCACCAGGAGGGGCCTGGAGTTTTTCTTTTTAGCACACCCAGGAAGGTCTCACCCAGAAATCCCACTGCAGCAATACTCCTTGGGCTAGTTTTTCCAGTTTCCTAAACTTTGCTAAGGGCACACTTCCCCTCCACCCAGCAGGTAGCAGGGACCCTCCTAATAGAACAAAGGGGAGCCTAGAACCACCCGAGCAGGCAGTCTCCACCTCCTCCGAAGTGAGAAACTAAGTCACTCTGCAGAGCCACATGCCAAGAACCAGACTAGTTTCTTTAAATCTCCTTTCCAAATTTTTATAGAATGTCCCCTGGGCTTGGTGACCAGAGAATCAAGAAATACAGGGCTGTATGACCTTAAAGACACTTCTTTCCATCTGCACCTCAACTTTACTCTTCCTAAAAGAGCACTGCTGTATAGGAAGTGACAGTGATGGCCCAAGTGCCTCTGCCTGTGCACAGTAGAGACCTTCCATGTGCTGACACACTTCTCATTCCACACTTCAGATAGTCACTGTCATTGGTTTTCCAAAGAAATCTGATTGTAAGTTTTGAACTACTCAGAGCATTCTAAAATGGGAGGTAAGGCCAGGCGTCATGGCACATGGCTGTAGTCCCAGCATTCAGGAGGGTGAGGCAGGAGGACTGCCACGAGTTCAAGGCCAGCCTGACCTACATAGTGAGACCCTGTCTCAAAAAAATAAATGGGAGATAAGCCAAGTGTGGTGGTGCAGACATACAATCCCAAAAATTCCAGGAGGCTGAACCAGGAGGACCAAAAGTTTGAGCCCACCTTGGGCAATTTAGCAAGACCTTGTGTCAGAATAATTAAAGGGGGTGGGGAGCTGGGCTAGGAATGCAGCATAGTGCAGAGGCCCTAGGTTTGATCCCTAGTACTGAAATAAAATGTGGGGTAGTATGACGTGGTTCAAGAAATCAATTACACATCTGGGTCCAGCAATGAATTCCAGATGTGAGAAACTTATATTGTGACTTCATATGGTAATAGGTCACTTTTTCTTGACATTCCACTCACATCTACATATCGAGAACCTCCTGTGTGCCTGGCCATGTGGAGTATACTGTGTCATTCAATCCAGGTGACAGCCCTGTGAGATAACTATACAAAAAGGAAAGGCGCTGAGAGGCCAAGGACATGCCTCTATCACAGAGCTTAATATTAAGCAGTAGAGGTTCAGATCTTAACTTCAAAGTCCCTGTGGCTCCACTATACCAGAACTTTAAAGTAATACACTAACTGTATTTCCTCCAAAGTATTTTTGAACCTAGATTTTTTTTTTTTTTTTTTTTTTGGTGCGGGGATCGAACTCAGGTCCTTGAGCTGCACATCAGGCGGTGAAACCACTGAGCTAAATCCCTGGCCCTGAACCTAGACTTTTTAAGTTAGACTGGTTCTTTTTTCCTTATTGTTATAACTTGAGGCAACTTAAGATACATCCACACAGAACCATACTTAAAAATATTGCTAACTGCCTTATTTAAAAATCTATCAGCAGGGCCGGGGATTTAGCTCAGTGGTTTCACCGCCTGCTGCGCAAGCCCAAGGACCTGAGTTCGATCCCCAGTACCAAAAAATAAATAAAAATAAAAATCTATCGGCAAAATTATGTTTTCCAATCCCTGCATTTAAAATTGTGCCAATTTTGTCCTCTCTTCTCCAGAGTCCTCTGGTATTGCAGTGTGGATAGAGAGAACTTACCTCCAGGTCTGGGTCCTAGAAGGGACACACACACATTTTAGTCACCTTGACCACCCAGGAATCTAGAGGTTCTGAGTTAGCTAAAGGTTTAGGAATGCTCAGTTTAGACTATTTTCTGATCAGCAAAGGGCACACTATTTTGTCACTGCCTTTCAAGCACATGGAAACATGGGACAGTCTCCCCTCTGGTGGATCAGTGAGTCTAATTTCTCTAAGACTTTCCCAGCCAGCATCCTAGAAATGGAGTGAGGTACTGCTCCTTGAAACCTGCAGAGCAGCTGGGTAGGGCTTGGTGTGGGTGGGGCCCCTGGGCCGGTCACCTGCAGCAGTTTATCCCTTTATCCAGGGTGCTCTCTAGTGTGTTTTTGTTTCCTGTGAGTTCCATGACAGAAAAGATCTAGAGGCCTTTGAATTGCTCTAAAGAATGAAGAATGCTGAAGCCTGACCCTCCAGCATAGGAGAGGTGAAAGGCTAAACATAACCTCTGGGGACAGAATGCCATTCATTAGCCATATAACTGCAGGCGAGTGGTCTCTGGCTCAATTTCCTCAAGAAAATATTAACAAAACCTTCATAGGATGCTTCAGAGAATTAAATGAAATGCTGTCAAATGTTACCTAATTACCACCAATGCCTAAAGGATAACTGAGAATAGATTTTTAGAGCTTGCATTCCAAATTCCTCATTTATGAGGAAACTGCCCCAGAAGGATTAGATGACTTGTCCAAGGCTAAACAACTCCACCAACCACCAGGACAAATAGATTCTGCTGCTTTGCTGGCAAGCTCCACTTCCCCTGGGGTTGGCCTGGGCTGTGGTTTCTAGGATTGTGATTCCAGCCTGACATGGTCCTTTTTGCCTGCTCTGTCATTCTGTGACAGCCCTTTGCCACTTGCTTCCTGAGAGCCAGCACCCTCCTTCCAAACTCAAGAGAATGCAATTCAGCATGCTCTGGGGGCCTTTGAGTCATCTCCGTCTGTGAATCAACCTCCAGCCTCTATTCTGAACAGAGAGATCTCATCCTCCTCCAGTTTCTGGAACTGGAAGCTGGTGTTTTTCCTTTGGATTTTGTTTAATGAGTGTCTTCCACCTCTAAGCATGTCAAGTTGTCCTCCCAGTTGCAGACTGGGGACTGGAGGTAAGCATCTAACCTAAGACCCTGAAGGGAAACACTGAAAACTACCTCTTGCATTCAGTGGGGGCTTCCCAGCCATGTCTCCTCACAACAGAAACTTCCTGCATCTCTCCACACTGCCTGGGAGGTGAGCACATACACAGATAGCTTTCTGGACAGATGCCCTAGGCAGCTGAGAGGATGCTGATGACCATCTGAATCCCAGAAGCATGGAAGTTACCATGGCTACCAAAAATTGAAACCATTGGCTGCTTGGCTATGGGGACCAACTCAGCTGACCTCTCAAGGTCCCTTCCAGCCCTGGGATTCTACAATTACCCCGAACCAGCTGAGACCAAGTCTGCTGCAAGACAAGAGGAAGTCCTGTGACATTAAGGCTTGGGCACAGAAAGCAAACGATTTCATCAGAAGCACCTTAGAGGTCACCTTGTCTTACTCATCAGAAGTATTAAGTCACAATCTTTACCTCTGCTGCATTAATAATAAGCAAAAGCTTTTTTTAGTTTAACATTTTATATCTTTTACAAAACAAGTTTGCTACCACTTTTTATTTCTCTTCCTTTTATAGCTCTGGTCAGAAATTTTGATAAGAGGTTTACTCCACATTGTGACCTGCAAAACAGCCCAGAAAAACTTGCATCACTATGGCCGAGTGGGGTGTGCTCCACCAGACAGGACGTGTATGTCATGAGCCTTCTAAGAATCAGGAGGAAGGAAGTCATTCATACAGGAGGCAGATGCTGAACTGCAACTCCGGTTTCCTCTTACAAGTCCTTGGACTGTAGGAATGTTACTCCACAAAGGGAACAGGTTTCTCTACAACTTGACCATCGAAAGCTCCCTACCTTTTCAAGTTGAGACAGAGCTGGGAAGAGGCTAATGCAATACCTACCTTCTCCCCACTACTGGTGGAGGGGGATCCCAGCCTTGGCTGCATACTGACCTCAGGGTCAGAGAAGTCTATACGGACAGATAAGACTTCCGAAAGCAGGGGAAGGGATGTCCAGAAATCAGAGTGCTGCTGATACTTACAAAAACAGTTGCAGACCTTTCCTTATTCCTGATACAGGAAGCTTCATGTTTAATGGGTGTTTGGAGATTATAAAAACTTGCTTTTAACGAGATTAAATCAAAGCCTTTATTAAACATTCCTCCTTTAAACGACCTGTACGTAAACCTATACCCTCCCAGACCTGGGAACTGCCAGAGCTGTGTGGGTATCACTTTTCCCTAACAGGGGTCAGAACTAGTCAGGCTGCACAACATTGAAAAGCCAAGCCAAGACACCACACTGGGCAGAGCTCTGCAGTTCTGTGCTCTGCTCAGGATCTAGGCAAAGGTTGGCAGTGCCAGCTCTTGAACCAGAGCGCAAGCACAGGAGAGGAGGAACCTGAAATTCAGGACATAGACCTTGTCCTGGACCCGACCACGCCAAGCTGGATGGCTGGCCCTGGGCCACCATTCACCAAGGCTTATGAATGTGCTTTTCCTTCTCTTCTCCAAAGAAAAGGATGGAAGATGGAGGAGGCAATCTTCAGTTGTGTGTGGGTTTGATTTAAGGCTTTGGCTGTGGTTGGTTGATATATTAAAATGCTTTCAGAAACGCCATCTCCTCAGCTCCCCATTGGAACAAACATATTTTCAAAAATGAAAACAGTGAACAAAGATGTGGAGCTACACGCTGCAAGAGGGCGCAGACTGATCACGTCAAAATGGTGTCGTCCACCTGCTCCGTGGAGTCAGCCTGGCTGGCCAGCTTCTTCAGGGACCTTCGGTTGCACTCATTCAGGGCCTCCAAGCTGGCCACATCTAGGATCTTGGAGAGGGACTGTGGGGAAGAAAGGGTGTGAGGAGACATAGAAAACAAGGCTTCAGGTTTCCTAGTCAAATCAAGACAAAGATGGATGCTAACCTCAAAACTATAGCCAGGAAAAACAAAAAACAAAAAACCTTGTAGCCAGAGGTGGAGTTTGACAAAATAAAGAGAATCAGCCTGGTTCATGGACAGTCTGAGAAAGTACTCATTTTGCTCTCCTTGAGCTGAGGCAAGCAGAGGTTACAGTTTTCAGTGCTTTTAAAGGCTACTGGGGGCAGGGGCTGAGGAAATGGGGCTCTAAGCATCAACAGGGCAGTCCTACTGGGATCTATGGCACATGCTTGGATCCTGTGGGGGATTTTATTTGAAGAAAAGTCTCTATTCCCAAAAGGAGTCTGAAAACCACAGTAAATTGTGTTTCCAGCACTACAATCACCTGAGCCTCAACCCGCTCTGACAAGCTAATACATACAAAGTTACAGAGAAGAGAATGGGGCTAAACACTGTCACAAAGAATAGCAAGGCAGACGCCTAGAGAAAGCCCTGGGCAGCTCTCCAGGCCCAGGCTCCCACCTGAAACAGCTCCTCCCCCTGCCTCATCTTAAGCAGGTTGACAATCGCCTGGTCGCTGTAGGCCCTCACAACAGTGTTCTTATCCTTGGTGTTATCAAGAAGTGCCTTCAGGATCGGCTTAATGGCCTGGGGGTCCAGGGGAGGCAGTGGGTCCTTATTTGCCCACCAGATCATCTTCTCAGCCACCAGCCTGATGTCACTGGATGAGTTTTGCAGACACTGTGAAGAGGAACAGATAGGGGCACATGTAGTCTTTTTCTCAAGAAGCCCAGATTCCCAGCCTGACACTCCCCTTTCATCATGGACAGACTTCACTGCTCACTTCCGATACCGCCCCTCCCTCCCTTGTGATGGTGAAGGATGATTCGGCCCATCTACAGCCTCCATCTTATTTCCCTTTTAGCTCACTATTCCTGCCTCAGCTAGGGTTTTCACTTCCTCCAACAAACCACGCCCCTTCCTGCCCAGGGCTCTGCTCCGCCTGGTTCCACTGCCTGGGATGTGCTCACTCCCAGGTTCCCACCTAGCTGGTTCCTTCTCATCCTCCAAAGAATGAAGACCCTTTATAAATTAGGGCCCAAACTGGGCTCCAGGGATCATATCTGCCTTGTTTGTCTCTACTCCTTCAGGGTCTAGTACAATGGTGGCAAACCTAGGACACTCAATCCACAGCAGGCTATATCAATGAAAGCTCTAAAAGGTTCGCCATCACTGTTCTAGCCCATCTGGGTGCCCACTGGGTACTCAGTAAATAAATGCTGTGTTAATAAGTGAATGCAGGCTGGTACACACACACACATACACACACACACACAGCCCAATTGAATCAGGGGCCCTGGAAACTCAATAGGGGACTGGGTGTCTGCAGTGAGGGGGCCCCCTTTGGAATCCCATTATACACAGCTAGGTCTGGGCACAGCAGTACTGCTATTGCCTGGGAGCTGGTTCCAGAGGCAGAGAATCCAGCATGGTCCCATTTCATTAAAATGCAGAATTTGGTTCTGATTTCTATGCACATTAATGTTTGAGAAGTGGGCTTTATCACACAGGTGGTAAGGAGTCCCAGTGTCACAGTCCCTGGCTTGTCTTATTAGGAACTGACACAACGAACACACTAATAAGTGCCATCAAAATGGATGCACATGAGGCGATACTCTTAAGTGAGATAAATAGGACAGATGTATAAATACTGAATAGTTTCTCTGGTGTGAGAAACTGAAAGCAAAAATAAGGATCAAAAGGCATAAGAGATATTGTGAAATAGGAAGAAAAGGTCCAAAGGGGAAGGAGAAGTGGGAGGGATTGAGGAAAGGAAAGAAGGAAATGGAATTAACGTGAAAAAATGGAAACAAAGTCTGTAAATAGGAAGGGGTAGAGGGGGTAAAGGGAGGGCAGGGGAATGGGGGAAAAAAAAAAGAACCAAGATAGATTATGTAAAGGTACAAATTCCCAATGATGAATGTCATTGTATTGTATACCTAAGATCTATTAATAAAATTAATTAAAAAAAATAACTACCATTATTGGTAGGGAGAGGAGGCAAGTAGAGAAGACTGAAGAAAAAACAAACAAAAGACTTACTAAGATTTGAGCCAGGTATGTGGCACACACGTGTAACCCCAGCACTCCGGGCAGCTGAGGAGGATCCCAAGTTCAAACCTCGCCTGGGCAATTCAGCCACTTAGTGAGACCCTGTCTCAAAAAATAAAAAAAGGCCCAACCGTGGTGCCACACACCTGTAATCCCAACACTTGGGAGGCTGAGGTAGGAGGATCACAAGTTCAAGGCCAGCCTGGGCTACCCAGTGAGTTCAACATCAGCTTGTGAGATCCTGTCTCAAAAAACTTTTTAATTTAAAAAAGGGCTGGGGATGTAGCTCAGTGTGAAGGCCTACTTTCAATCCCCAGTACTGAGGAAAAAAAGATTTGAACCTGGGTCTGACCCTAATTTTATAATATCAGTGTACCTAGAAATAATGCCTATGACAGTAGTTCTTAACTTGATTCTGCCTCACAAGTCTGAGATTCTGACCAAAAGTCAGATACTCTGCCCAAGAAAAACACACAGAAACACTCTGTCCTTCATTCCTAAGCTTCCAGAGATCTCCTAGAGGCCATTCACAGACAACTGAACCCAACTAGTCAAGAGCACATTTCCAGTGTTCTCTAGGCCTGAGGGCCTCTTCATGAACCAGCCTCAGTGAGTCCCTGTCCCTGCTCACCTTAACGAATAGGCTGGAGAGTTTGGCTGGCAACTGTCCTGCTCCAGTCTCAATGTGGTACTTCATCAGGAAGCCCATGCCCCGGACCCCACTCACAGCAATGGGGATCTGTGGAGAAAGGAAAGAATGAGACAGCACAGAGGCATCCTGATCCCTCCTGGGAGCTGCAGAGCCAGGTAAGATCCACCCCCCAGGAACGTTCAGGACCCTTCCCCACTCCTCATCCTTTAGTACTTCACACCAAAGGCTCTTCAACAGCTCTCAGATGGGTTGCCCTCACGACTGGGCAGGCAACTCACTGATTCCCAAGCATAAGGACCAGAGAACTTCTTGCCAGGAGGGGACAGCTACATCTTCCAACCTAAAGCCTTCATTGTTTAAATGATGAAACTGGAGTCTAAAGGAACAAGTACTAGTCCCAGGGGACAGCAAGTTACTAGCTAAGGTAAAACTAGAACCTAGGCTTCTGAGACCCAGCTGGGGATGGGCCCATGTGATCAGTCAGCAAGGAGATGGCTGTGGAATTCTGGCTAGGGGAAGGGAGGACAAGCCCAGCTGTGTGAAAGCCTTACCCTGTCTGCAACGGCATTGCTGAGGATCATGTCCTGAACTTCACTGCTGTATGTGCCTATACAGAGTCTACAGGGAGCCACATTCACAGCCACAGAGAGTGCCAGGCTCCGGCCATGACGAACCATCCAATCAATGCCAGACATGTCCGCTGGTGGAAGGACACAGCCAGGGTTAACCTGCACTTCATAGCATACCTTCATCCCCACCAGGACCAGGCTGCAGACTTGGGTCACAATGGCGACCCCAGGCCATACTGTACATAACTTCCCTGGTTTTCATGGTAGAAGTTCCCCAATGTGATGAAGAGGTCTCACAAACCACTCCCAAATTGTGACCATGTTCTCAGGGCAGAGACACTCAAGGGCACAAAACCACTGGAAACTCCAATATGTTTCAGCAGCTGAATTCCCAAAGAAAGGGTAGTCAAGGTGCTATAAGATCTTCAGAAGAGAAAGGGAAAACAGGTGCACTGGGCCGCTCCTCCAGAACTGAAGGGCCCAGGTCCCTGAAAGGGGAACACCCCCCCCCCATACAAAAGACCTACCCAGCAAGTACTGCTGAAGGACAGTGCTAAGCTCCTCTTCCGTCAAAAAGCCACACAGCTCCCCCAGGCACCCAGCAGAGGATATCCGAGTGTTGTCCTGACAGAATAGAAAGGGGAATGACAGGGGATGCAGGCAACACCACTGGCCCCCACAATGAGGGCAAGAAGCAATGGGGACCCCGCAGGGAGGGCAGAGAAGAC